CTCTGTTATTTATCTTGTCTTGTTGTTAGCTACAACCAGGCAAAATCCAGAGATTTATGGAATTAAAATTAGAAATGAGGAATATAAAGTTCAGGCATTTGCCGATGATTTGGTATTTATAATGGAAGATCCATTGAATTCAGGACCAATATTGTTGCAACAAATAGAAAAATTTGGGGAAGTGTCAGGACTTAAAATAAATAAAACTAAAACTAAAATGATAGTCAAAAACTGTACAACAAAACAGAAAGTAGAATTAGAAAATATAATGGGACTGCAAATAGTAAAAAAGGTGAAATACCTGGGAATTTGGATATCACCCAGATGCTCATCACTAAAAGAGGACAATTACGTTAATCTGATTAAGCAAATCAGAAAAGAATTGGAATTATGGGCCAAATTGAAACTGTCTATATTATGGAGAATAGCAACGCTGAAAATGAATACTCTACCAAAACTAATATATTTATTCCAAATGATCCCAATTAAATTAGGGAAATCTTTCTTTATAGAACTAAATAAAATGACATCCAAGTTTGTCTGGTTGGGCAAGTGGCCACGTATCAAAATGAAATTATTACAAGATGATAGGAGCAGAGGCGGTCTTGGACTACCAGAATGGGAGCTTTATTACCAGGCAGCAGTTTTGAGTTGGATTAAAGATTGGGTTAAATTAAGAGACAAGACAATCTTAACATTAGAAGGATATGACCTCCTGATAGGTTGGCATGCATTTTTGTGAGATAACAAAAGTAATGTACATACTTATTTCAATTAATAAGAGATTCATTGATTACAACTTGGAAAAAAAATCAAAGGCAAACACTATATGGAAATCCCATGATGGCTGTCAACCATGGAAGCCATAATCCATCCAAATAGATTAGACCTAAGGAAAATGGTAAGCTATGAAGAATTATTAGATAGTCAAGGGAAATTAAAATCAAACCAAGAACTGAAGGAAAATGGAATCATAATCGACTGGTGGCCATATTTGCAAATTCAAAATAAATATAAAAAAGATTTAAAAGATTTTGGATTTGACAAAGGGCAGAACCAATTAGATAAAATATTAATGGGACCGGAACAAAAACTTATAACTAAACAATACAAATATTTATTAGATTTCAAAATGGAAGAGGAAATAGTCAAAAGCACAATGATTGCATGGGCACAGAATTCTGGATACACTATAGAATTAGAGATAGGAGAATGGAAGAAAAAGAACTGGAGAGAATCACAGAATACCAAAACCTGTAGAATGATCATAGCACAAGGAAGCAGAGAGAGTTCCCATAGTAATAGACATCTTGGGTAAATACCAAAACATCTGGAACACCACTTGAACACCATCAGCACAAAATCACCATCATTAAATTGCAAAAGGTGGCTTTACATGGAGCAGAGAACATCCTGTCCTCATACCTTTAATGCTTGTCTATTCTGGTCCTGGAGAAGGACTTGATAGGTGGATAAAAATGCCAAACTCAGTCAAAACATCTGGCTGATTATGTGATCAGCTACAATAATGATCAGGAGTCAGTGGAGGCCTTTATGAGAGGGGTAACTATTCCAGCAATAATTTGAAAACAGACGCTCCCCACTTAAGTAGACTCCTTGATGAATGCTGTGGTTAATTGTGTGTCTTCAAGTCAGTGTTGACTCCTGGCACCTGCATGGACTAGTGCTGCAGTTTTCTTGGCAAGATTTTTAGAAATGGTTTGCCTCCCTCTTAGAGCTGAGAGACAGCGACTGGCCCAAATGTCTTTGTGCCTAAGGTAGAAATGGAACACATTGCTTTCTGGTTTCCCACCTATTGCCTTAACCACTATGGCAAGTTGGCTCTCCCCATGAATAGTAGTGCTCTGCATATGCTGAGATCAGAGAGTCAAGAGGCCTCACTTGACTTCACTTCTGGTGACTTCAACGACATTCCATAATCATTTGGTTTGTTGTTTTTGTAACTTTCCCACAGCACTCACCAGGTTGGGCTTTGCATAGAGTTTTCCAGATCAGTCAAAGTGGCTAGGTGCTGTCATCTGCTATGATTACATTTGCCTAAAGTCTTGGCAAAAGCACCACTAGGAAAACAGGGATAATAGCTGTCAGGGTAGAGGACTGAAATTTTGCTCTTTGGTCTTTTTAACGGGAGGAGTAATATTTTATTTTGGGGTAGGGTTTTTCTGTACATCCACATAGTGCTTCCTGTACTCTTGATGTCTATGGGAACTATAGCAGCCATGACAACAATCACTGTTGGTGAGTTGGGCTGTTATATAAATTTGTTTAATAAATCAATTAATTATATCTGCTGCTGCCACAATGTGTGAGTGTGTGTGCGAGATGAAGTTTTATGGGTTTTATGTAATGGACTTTTAATGTTAAAAATTTCCCAGAGTCCTGTATATGAGTTGAGCGCCCATATAAATAGGTTTAATAAATAAATATGATTAATTGATTAATTATGCAGGTGTTTTTGTGTGTGTGTGTGTGTGTGTGTGTGTGTGTGTGTGTGTATATGTTTTCTGAGGTTCTCGCGGGTATTTATATGTGGATCTTTGGTTGTTCGGGTTTTCTCCCGCGTAAGATTCGAAGTATCTAGGCAACGTTTCGATGAAGTCTCATTCATCATCTTCAGGCTTCTGTCTCCGGCTCTGTGCTTCTCAGAGTAATGTGAGATTGCAGCTGCTTCCTCCTTTTAACTGCCAGTGGGGGTGGGACTTGATTGGGTGGGGACTTGGCTGTGTTCTGATTGGGTGGGGGGGTGTTCTCATTGGTAGGGGGTTTGGCTGTGTTCTGATTGGTTGGGGGGTTAGCCGTGTTCTGATTGGTTGGAGGCGTGTTCTGTTCAGGTGGGGGCTTGGTTGTGCTCAGGTTAGTCTTAGTTGCTGGGGGATTTGAGCTGGTGAGTTGTGATCTTGCTGTTTGGCTTCGAGTTCGTGGTCCTTCTGCATCTTCATAGTGGGTGTCGGTTTGCTTCATGTATGGCTCAGAGGGGTTTGAAGTGGGTAGTGATGCAGCTGCCGTGCAGCTTCTGGTCCATGGTCGTGTCTCATCTTCTGAGTGGGTGGGAGTCTGTTTTCTACATGGAAGTGTGG